TTCGATGTAATGTATTTGAGCTTTCGCGATAAGCCAAATAAAATTACTCTTTAAAAAGTGTATTTTTTTTCTGCTATTATCATTGGTTTTAGAATCAATGCTATTACAACTTTTATTATTTTATAYCTATGTACAAATAATATGTGGACCATACCTACACATTATATTATTAATTTTCATTATATATTTGGACTAGATTCAATTAAAAAATTAATTGGACTTTTTTTATGCAACACAAAAACAAACAAATTTTAACCACACCAACTACGTTTTAGTTGTCAGTCCTCAGTCTGAATAAAGTAGGAAAGAAGCTTGTATTCGATATATTTTTTTTTCTTATGGGAACTTACTTAGTGTAAATTTTTTTGTGTGGGAACTTACGTATTATGCATACCCTTGTGTGATTTTTACCTGCTATATCTCGTGTGGGAACTTACATTCGCCCGTAGGTTTAGGGTTGGGTAGGTTTGTTGGTAAACGTGTGTGGTTTTCGGCAGAATTTTGAATTGGGCACTCGTAGGTTTCTGTCATGCCCGGGTGGGGGGGCGGTGGCCTCTCCAGACAGCGTGAACTGCCCGGAATGCGATGCCGCCCATGATCGGGATTCGAACCGGTGACGATGCGCGTAGCCACCAACAACTAAATCCGCTGGGCTACTACACCCCCATTATGATAGTAATTAGGTACCTAATGTGTAAAACTAATATCAATYATAGTTAAGTGTAATATTCATAATTTGATTTAATATGTAACTTTATTAAATATTATCCGACCGTATTATATCATTATGATTGAGATATATCATAGCTTAGTATATAGACTATAGATTAATAGTTAGATATTGCCCTACTAAAACCTCATAATTTTATCTACCATAATGACTAAGTGAGTGGGATCGTTCATTATTTTACTAACACAACACTTGGGCAGGAATCGGCCATAATCAAATTCTTTAGTTTTTGATTTAATATTTATATAGTTGATTTACATACTATATGTCTAATATCAAGTGCCATCAATGGGTGACTTCTTACTCTAAAACGCAAAAAAAAATTTTTTGTTCTATCATCACATAATATACTTATTGTGCTAAATTTAATACAGATTGTGTATATCTTATAAAAAAAAAAAAAAATGTGTCTGGTTGAAAAACACTGGATGATAATGCGACGTGATGACGTATGTTTAGTTTAAGAATACATAATCGGTTTTTCTCTAAACCCGAATCCAACATATTATCGTGTTGTAATTTTGGTACTGTAATCCCCAGCGTATCGTGTAAATAGTAAATGTTTTTATTGGTATTTCAGTCGATTACCGGGTCAGGCCACTGGTAGTGACCATTAAACTGTGGGCGTCCCATCACAACATCAACGATCCGAAAAAAATGACGCTGTCCAGTTACTCGCTGGTGCTGATGGTTATCAATTTCTTACAAAGTAAGATATAAATATACTTATACTCACTAAACTATAACACATYTTGTAAAAATCACAAAATTCTGCGGGACGACGATAAATGATGTGATGTATTATCGTCATGGAAATCATCACGAAAAATTACAACGTACAACTTTCGTGGGTGATAGATCGTCAAGATCTAAGTATTAAATCTGTATCTATGCACAGACTAGCTCGAATTYGGAATTATTGATTACAGGAGCTCAATCTAACAATTTTAAAACTGCGTTCAAAAGTGCAAAACTATAGTCAACACCGACTCGCGGGGGGCCATTTTAAATGCTACATTTCAACTTGGTTGTATAGTCATTACTTTAAAAAGACATTTTTTGATGATATTATAATTCTCATACATAACTGTACCACAGACATATTCTGATAAACTACAATAGTTTATTCATTATTGTACATATCTGTGCATTAGGCAATAAGCAAGAGTGGTACCTACTAGTTACTACCTATAAAAAAACTTTAACAATATATTTAGCAAGGTAATGATATCTATTCTAAACACTCAAACCACAAAAATGACAGAAAAACATTTCTGATAGCATTGAATCCAATTGGAATGAGTTCAAGCATTGCATATTTACATTATATTTATATTTGCGATTCACAGGCGTGGTACCGCCCGTGTTACCGTCGCTGCAGTGCATCTATGGCATGAAGTTCTCGTCCTACACCGACATCGAATTCGTTCACATGCACGAACAGTTGCCTAGCAGTGGTTGGAGAAGCGACAATAAACAGAGTCTTGGCGAGTTGCTTTTGCAGTTTTTCAAATACTACAACGATTTCAAGTGAAAATGATTTAAAATATTATTTATAGTTATTACTTATAAGTTGGTATGTGTGTGTGTGCGCTTGTGTCAACTTACTTTTATCATATAACTTATTGTATTATCATTTTTCGCTGTTGGATTCGGAACTTAATGCAYTTAAAAAATACTTGAGTCTAAACATGCATGCACTCATGTGCTTTAAAATTATACACATTATTTTTTTTACTCGCAATTTTGATAAAAACAAATATTTTACTAAAAAGTTTTYTATATTTTATAATTTCTACTAAATATTTTTTAAATAAAACAAGAACCATGAAATATAAACAAATTTAAATTMAAAAATATTCCCTTAAAATACCACAAAATCACAAAATATGCAAAAATTTGGACAATAAACTATTAATATTTTTTTGGTTGGCTTGTAAAAATAATTTTAAGCGTGTTCAGCGATAAATCTGGTTGCTCAAAATAAACATGCAAATGTAATATCATTAAAACCTTAAATTTAACG